TCCAACCCCCTAGAGCAAGCACTTTGGCGACAGTGGGAAGGAAAAACTCTCTTTGAAAAGAGAGAAACCTCCGGCAGACCCAGGCTCTGGGATGGGGTGGCCATCTGCCTCGGCCAGTTGGTGATGAGGGAAGGAAGTTGGGAGAAGAAGAGGGGTTCTTTTTAACCACTCTGGTTTTAAAATTAAATTTAGATGCCCAATTTCAGTGAATATTTTAAGCCACTTTAAGAGTTTTGCCACATAGTGGCATGCACGTGTCAGTTCAATTTTAGCGTGCACACGAGAAAGCCCTAAAGATGATGTTTTGGCTCCTCAGTTTGGCGTGTTTTTTGAAGGTTTTGACGATTGCTTCGTCAACCACTGGATTGCTTAACTTCAATAAGAGTGCTGGAGAATCCCACCTGTCATGGAGTTCGTTGTACACCGTCAGGGCGAGTTGTTCAATGTTCTCCAAGGACATTTTGTAGTTTTTGGACAGAATTTTGTTCCAGATCTTATGGGAAAGCTTCTGTATAATAAAATCTGATGTTCCTGGACGCCATGTTGTCGTCTCATTTTCTTGGCTCATGGCGTGCATTACCAGATCTTTAGTGACGTTTTTCACCACTTCCTTGTACTCTTCTCTGTGTTTAGAGACACTGAGGACTCTTCTTGGTAATGACAGCAGGTGTTTGGTGAAGGCTGGGACAGTAATATTATCAAGCTGTTCCCTCAGATTAAAAATCAAATATTTTTCCTTGCAGTTATGTGCTTTGGAAAGATCCTTGAGAATGGCCTTGTCTAGATTTTTCAGACGTTTTGGGGACAGATCCAAATGTTTCTTCTCAACATCAGGCCAGATTTTCTCAATCAGGCGATCGCTGATGCAGTCGGGAGTGAGGCGCTCTGTGAAGAGCTTGTATTTAGAGGAGACTTTTTCTATGGCCTGAGAAACCACCGACTGGATCAGTCTGTTGACGCGCAACTTATCCTCCATTTTCAGTGTTTTCTCCAGTGTTGATGTTTCAGCCTTTGTCTCCAGTATTTGGTTGGTCTCATCTGCACTGTGATACACCTGGAGGGTTTCTGATGAGGACGACTCTGCGGTTGCCGTCTCTACTGTCTCAGTCTTTGCCTCCGCTAATTCTTGGGTCTGCTCGTCCAGATTTTTCTGAATTTCTTTTGTGTCCTTCACCACTTTCTGCTCTTCCAGGACTTTTTCTTCCTCCAGGACTTTCTTCTCCTGCTCCAGATTCTCTCTGTGTTTTTTCTCATTCCACAGAGTGTCTGCCAGAGAGGCCTGGTGTTGCTGAAGCTGTGCAAGCTCAGCAGACAGACTTTCCTTCTCCTGTTTCAGGATCAGGATTTCGCTGTCCCTCTGCCCAAGCTGCTCTTTCACACAGTTCATTTCAAGGTCAAAGGCGATGGTCTGTTCCTCCTTTTCTTCTCCAGCTTGGATCTGATATTGTTCCAGCTTGGTACGCATCAGGGAAATTTGGGCCATCAGCTGTTTGATTTGCTGTCTGGCTGTCTTTGAATCCTCTTTTAAAAGTTTATTTTCGGACAGAGCTTTTAGGAAGGCTTTCCTAACCCGAACAAGGTCGTCCAGTGTACTCTTTGGCAGCGTGCACACAACTTTGGGATTCTCGTGTGTCTGAAGCTGTGCAGGTTCGGGAGACAGACTGTCCTTCTCCTGTTTCAGGGTCAGGATTTCGCTGTCCCTCTGCTGAAGCTGCTGTTTCAGAGGGTTCATGTCAAGGTCAAAGTTGTTGGTCTGACCTGAACAAGTCTGATCCCCTTTTTCTTTGGTGGCGCTGCTCATTTCCACTTTGCGTGACACTGATTCATCAGTGAGTTCTCCAGCTTGGATCTCATACTGGTCCAGCTTGGCACGCATCAGGGAAATTTGGGCCATCAGCTGTTTGATTTGCTGTCTGGCTGTCTTTGTATCCTCTTTTAAAATGAGATAAGAGATATTAGAAATCATAAAACATGTCAGCCTTGAAGAATTTCTCACACTACATCATTAAAAAAAAAATTTAAATGTAAATCCTAAAGTTGCAGTCATTCAGCAAAAAAACCCCAAACATGCAAATTGGAAACTTGCATCAAAACAATATCCTAAACAACATCTAAAATGAAGGATTTCTTTAACCCCTAGACAACAGCTTACACAAATTCTGCCACATTATATGGAAACATCTGCT